GCATATATGTATAGTATATTTTCTCGGCAACTAAATTAATATTTCTAAAGATGTTTCATTAGAATTTTAAATATCAGATAACGAATTGAGTAATTTAGAAAGCGTCAATTGGCTGGAAACTACAATTGTGTTTTATTGTTCCCTTGGGTTCCTAGTGGAACATAGGGCTTCAACTGCACGTTTCCACTTGCCACTTCTGTCTTCCTTCTGCTGTGCTTTTCACCTGCATCCATGTTAGTCAGCCCATTCTGTTTCAACTCCTCTTCACATGATTTCTTCCATGTCACGCTTGCACTGACGTCCCACTTGCCGCGTGCTTCCCTTTCGGCCTGGTTCCACTCGAACAATGGTCTGACGCTAGCGCGATGTCACCCAGCGGCCTCCTCAGCCACTGTCCAATCCATTTCCACTCCATCTCCTGCATATTTGTTGGTTGGGCGATTGGTTCTTGCTTTGTTTGTTTGTTCCCATAGTTTCTTGTTGGTGATCCTTTCCGGCCCGGCCATCTGATTGATCTTCAGTATAGGTCCAGCGAAGACAGTTGTTGGTTGATAAATGTCTGCAACAGGCTGTTGGAAATATTCTTTGCGACCGACCCGCCGAGTTTCTGATCCGTATAGAAGAGCTGACTGACTTGAAGTTTTGTATTGAAAATCCGACTGAATTTGGTTGTTGATGCTGAGTTGAGTGACGAGGATTTTCAGATTGGTTTCAGGTTGATGAGTGAGTGTGTTTCTCGCTCGCCTTCCCGATTCTCGCCCGATTTGACATCCCCGTCCGTTCCGACTGCCTGTAGTTGAGACAATGCTCCCTAGATGATAAGTGAATGGCGTAACCTCTTTCAAATCCCTCCCGTTAATGGTGACTGGCGCTGGATGTTTCTGCTGCTGTTGTTGGTTGGTTATTTTCATCACCTCCATCTTGTCTATGTTCACCTGGAGTCCTGTCTTCGCTGTCTGCTTCTTCGACCAGTTTGTCGGTTTTTGCTTGTAAGTTATATAAGTAAGTTGGGTGATGTAATATAATTGACGAGAATGAGTATAATTCAACTAAAATTGAACGAGAGTCAAGTTAACAACTGTGGTAATAAGAGGCAGAAATGTAATGCGGGGGTGAGGGTGGGTTGTAGGGAGAAAATAATACAATTAAAAAACAAAAACTAAAATTAAGCATCCGGTGTTAAGACAGGTCAGTCCCACTGTAGATTCAATGACTGAACAAACTTCTTGTGCATGCTCGGTTCGAGATCGACCCATATAAACTGCCATTGCTAGATTAGACATTAGATTGGTTATAGGGATTTGGTTGTTTTCTAGTCATATCATGAAATAAAATCATTTTGAAGAACTACTGGGAACTAGGAATTCCTGCTGATTAACTAGGGCGCAGCGGGTATCCAACACTTCCAGCTGGTTTTCAGGAGTTTCCTAACTGATATTGGCCATTAATCTAACTTAAAATCAACCACATTCATTGAAAACTATTAATTGAAGATTCAAAATTCACCTCTGAGGGAGATATTAATTCAGTAAAACAACTGGACATCATAAAAAAACCAACAAATCAAATCTATAAATAAAAACAGACAAGACTGAAAAAACTGAATTTAAGCTTGAGTTTGGGGAAAAAAACCCTATCGGGATACCAGAAGGGGGGGGGGCTTTCGGGAAACCTAGAAATTTACTATCAAGCTGATACTTCATATTCATGCTAAATTACTCGTAATTTTACGTGGGACTGTTAAAAAAAAGACGAGATATGAAGTAATTCTGGCAGTTATTTTTCATGATTAAAAGGCACAGGTAAGTATTGACACACTACATGATTGAGAAATACATGATGTTGTTGTCGGATCTTTGAAACGGTGTGTATTTTTGTAACGCTATGAACCATTTTCAATCGTCATTGCAAAATGTTTGTAAGGACTGATTGGAAGAAAGGCTGGCTACGTTGTCGAGCTACAAAAGCTGGAAGACTTAGGAGTCTACAAAAATTGTTGTGGGATAATGCCAAGTAAAATACTGAGTCGCATCATCCTGGAGAAAATAGAAAATGCACAGGATGTAGAACTCCACCAGGACTCCCCACTGAGACAAGCTTGCTGGATTCAAGGAAGGCTGATCAAATTGAAACTCTACGCATCGTCATCACAGAACAAAGCATAGAACGGCGTTTAAACCTCTCTCTACCTCATCGTCATCGACTTCGAAAAGGCCTTCGATGGACACTATGGTGTACAATGCCGAAATTTTTATCAACTCCATCTAACAGCTATATGAAAAACCAACGTGTCAGCTGATCTACAACGGAAAAATCAACATGGCATTCGGAGTAAAGAGAGGAGTAAGACAAGGCTGGTTACCTATTATCACCGATGATATTCCTAATTATGGTCTGTCTGTCTGTTTTCGACGTAGAACTTTGCACAAATGTGCGGAAGTTCAAGTCGCCACATTCCGTGTAGCACGCGAAGCAACAGAAGAAAGTACAAGAAAAGCATAATAGAAACAGTAAACAGAGGTGTGAGACAAAGGAGAATAAAGAATAACAAAACAGTTTCATTGGAGATCATAAGTCACAAGGAGTGGATGCATCTGCGCCGCTGAGAACGGTTTTGAGCCATGTCACCAATTGTTTCCAACCATAGATTTTTACCGTCCCGAGGACCCCAGCCTGGAAGTCTACACCTTCCTACGTGGCTTAGACCAACTGTTGTGGATTTCATTGACTGATGCCAAGTTTTTGTTTGACCGCCGCTAGCTTTTTTCCAGCCTGACCCTATATCCGCTAACATTGCTCGTCGAAGGAGGCGATGGCTTGGCATACGTAACACATGTCCTAACCATCTCAGTCTTTGTAGCTTCACGACTTCGTCGATTGATTTCCCCTGTTTACCTAGAACTCGACTCACGCCTAACCTCCATGTTGCTCACCTTATTATGCCACTTTACACGGGAAATAGAGCGCAGGCACCTATGATCAAAGACAGCTAGCCAGGCTTTTCATGTCTTCCACTCTCAGTGGCCAGGTCTCACAGCTAGCCATAAAGGAGGACGGAGCGGACTGATGAGCAGTACACCCGCCCTTTGGTCGATAGTCGAACATTATGGTGGAGTGGATTACGGCGTTAAACTATGCATGGGAAGTGAGAAGACAGGATTACGCTGGACGACCGATAAGAAGACTCTAGAAGATGTTTGGATTTCACTGATGATTTATGCTAAATGTCAGAAAAACTCAAAGACTCGAAGTCGAGAACCTGACAAGTTGGTTGAAGACTCTGGCAGCGAAGACAGGAATTCAAGTGAACATAGAAATGACACAGATGATGAAGATAAACAAGTTACAAATAAACCAGCAACCAACCAGCACCAATCAATATCAACGCGGGAAATTTGAAGGAGGTAACTTCCTTCACTTATCTGGTCAGGGAGCACGGTTTCAACCACAGGCAGTCAGAACGGATGAAAGTGTCAAAGCTAGCCATGACTGGAAAGCCTTCATCACTTTAAAATTCGCTCGGAAATCTTCTGCACTGACTTGGTACAGAGAACAAGATTCGGATTTTCAACACAAAAAGGGCCAGGCAACAGATCGTTTTATTATGAAAATCAACACGTATTTATACATATTTCACATACATTATTATAGCTTATGCAAGTAGACAAGCGCAGTCATCTGATTGGTTGTTTATCAGAAGTTAGGCAGACAAACGCAGGCTTCTGATTGGTTGTTTCGGGATTCCTCGACAAATAGAGTTCTCTATCTGCGAATCATATTTTACCACGTTAACTTTGCTGTGATTGGTTGTTGAATCAGCCTTGCTCATATTTTCTCACGGCCTGCTCTCACCACACTTCTATACAGGTCAGAAACTTGACAGTCAAGTAACGAAAATCATTTCCAACAGGCCACTGCAGATTTCTGTCAACAGCTGCCTTTACTAGCTAATATACTAAACATCAAATCGTGGATCAGAAACAATTAACAACAAGAAACTTTGGTTTGGAACAAACCAACCAAGAGCTGATCGATCAACAAATATGTGGAGAAAACAATGCTAGTCACCATCCAACAATCAAATACTAATTAAATGGCTAGACATCGTCGAAGCATCTGCACAAGAAGCCGACATGTTGTTAACCTGAGACTGACCACTTCGATCCAACTAATCGATGGGAAAATTTAAAATTTAATTGAAAAATTAATATGACTCATTGCACAAGAGGTGGCGGCTCTCGTGGCCCAAGTGGTCTAGTGGATAACTCTTTGGCGTTTGAAACTGTTGGAACTGGGTTCGAACCTCGGTGGGAACACTATCACTCACTGGGGAATACAGATACATCCACTGGCTGATGAGTCCCAGGTAGAGGACGAAGTGCTCTTTATCCTGGATTCCACTGCTAATCACCATCCACCAATTAAAAATGGAAATCGATGGGGAATACGTTGAGGAGGCCATTGAATGACGTTGCGCCTAATTCAGGCCATCACTCGAGTGGATGCGACAAGTGTGCGTCGGTGGCACAGTGGTTAGGACTCTCGTCAACCATGCACATGGTCCGAGGTTCGATCCCCTGCCGACGCACACCTGATATCTATGGTCGGCCTGCAAATTTTGGGCTACCGATATCCATGCTGAAAATTCCATACTTGTACCAAAAATACAGTGTGGAATCAAGCTGTGATCAAAAATAAAAATAAAAAGATAAAATAAGTCGGTGGTGGGTGCAAGGGTGACATGGAGGAGATCGTGTGTTTGGAGGGGGGGGGGAGGAGATGAGAGATTACGGTCAGTCGTTAAGCTAGTCAGCTGAAGAGGAGGACAGGAGGAAATAGAAGAAAGTGGTGATGTGTTGTTGAAGCCTTATGTTCCACTTGGAACCTAAGAGCTATTCAAATGGCGAATATTTTGCTTATAACATATTTCTATAGTAGGTTATAATTTTAAACTAAATTCTCTCTCCTGATTTGTTCTTCTCTCTCATTTTTTTTGTTAGCATCGATACAATAGATCTGATATCGAAACAACAACAAATGAATACCCTGTTGCATACTGAATCATTACTACCAAATGATAAAATCAATTTGAAATATATGTCTAACAACCAAAGTCCTGCCAGCGGTTGGAAAAGACTGCAATATAATCAATATACTCAACGACCACCACGATTAGGTGATTGTGCTGGGAAAATCACTGAATCACCAAGACTAGGTTATCCAACCAATTCAGAGTTGAATTCTCATGATTCAGTTATCCCAGTTACAGCATCAACAACAACAACAACATCATCAACAGCAACAGGAACAGCAACACAATTTAGTGTCAGTTTTGAAAGTCCTCTAGAAGCTTGTCCACTGGGGACACGTTTAAGTCCAGTCGGAAGTAGTTGTTGGTCATCTGAACAGCATATTTCCCCTGATTTAACCTCACTAATGAGTAGTAGTACAAATTCTGTATCTGCTGGAATCTCGCTAAGTTCAGGTCGTCAGCATGCCTTGAAATCACTGCTGCACAGACAACCATCAGCTGGTACAGCATGCTCTGGGGGTACGTTGTCTACAGAACCTGTACAATCTGCTTCACAATCTGTCCGATCAGCTCCTTTATGCGCTAGCCAGTTGACTCGATCAAAATGGAGTAAACAGATGACAATAAGTAGAAATATAAATTCGCATTATTTTACACCCCCGCCTCCACCGTCTTTGGTAGTTAGTGATCCAGAGGAAGAAATGCATAATAAACGTCTACAGTTGTAAGTTGCCTCTTAATGTAATTTCATTTATTTATTTATTTATGCTACAATACTTAGTGGGATTATACGTATACTCTTTTTCAATTACATTCTCACCCGATATAAACTGGCAACATTCAATGGCCCATGAATTCTAACTTCTGCCAATTCACGACATAGCGTGATCATTTCGCAATGTCTTCTTCGATGAGTTACTGCCTCATTTTCAACCTACTGTACCCTACTGGTCACGGCTTCTCACTAGAACCCCAGGTCATTGGATCGAGTCCTAGTGGCTTAATGGTCTACGAGCTAGCTCGCCTTGTAACCAGAAGGTCCTGGGTTCGAACTGTTGCGGAGGGTGGGTGCGTACTGAGGAAGAGTCTCAAACTAGGTTGACGAAACAGCTGTCTTGCAGTACTACCTGGCAGGTTTTCCAATGGTTCTCTAACTGGTGTCAACTCATGATGAAATCCTTCATCCAATTAAACAAAATCCCTACAAAACCAATATTTGAAACTATTGTTATTCCCTTGGCTTCCGAGTGGAATATAGAGCTTTTGCAACACACATCTCCGTTTCATCCTGTCCTCTGCTGTCCTGTCTAGTTTGCCCCGCCCCCCCACTATCGCTTATAGGCTCTCATCTCCTCTGCTTACGATCTTGTCGTTTTCTATTCGAGTTCCACTCGAGGGTATGCCTAGTGCGTGGTGTCAGTCACTTAACGATCTCCTCAGTGGTGTGTCCAGCCCAACTCCATCTTCTTCCACATATTTGTTGGGCAATGGAAGTTCTCAGTTGGTTTGTTGACAGGGCTATTCGTTGTTAATCGTCTCCCGTAGGCCATCTGAACTTGAGTATGGAGAGAAGTGGGTAGCTGTTGAGGAAAGTGTAAATCCTGTTTGAAATGCTTCTGGTGATGATATGGCAAGTTTTGGAACAATATAAAACAATCGACTTGAAAGTGTTTCTCATAATTCCGATCTTGTTGTATGCTGTTTTTTGTTGGTTTGGTTATTTTAACCACCTCTATCTTCTCCAAGTTAAACGAAATCCCCTCTTCACTGCTGTTTCTTCTGCCAAGCTGTCGACTTTCGCCAGCAGATTTTCTAATTCACTTGACTTCAGACATAAATCTTCTCGAGTCGTCCTACCTGTGGAACAAATTCCCTATCTTCTCATTCTCTACGGTCTGCTGCATGATCCAGACCTTCTTTTCGGTAAAAGTATGGAATTTTCAGAGTGTGATATCGGTAGCCCAAATTTTGCAGGCTGACTAATTGATATCAAGTGTCCGTCGGCAGGTGATCGAAATCTGCATCATTTGCACGGTGGGCGACAGTTCTAACCGCTGTGCCACCCATACACAATCATCGGTAACAGCAGGCAAACCCGTCTTGCTCTTGTCTTCACTTTGAATTGCTCCACTAAGTCTTCCTTTCTGAAGCATCTGGTACATGGTATTACCATTTAGCTAATGAATGAGTTTAAATAAGATTTAGGGCATTGCATAGCGCTGAAGTAGTTTCCCTAGCCATCGATTGTTTAGAAAGCTTTTTCATAGTCGATGAAATTGAGGTAAAGAGTTGACTGTTACTTTTGTTTCCTGTTTGATGATGATTATGGATAACTATGCAATTCAGTCCGCATATGATTGGATTTTCTTGAATCTACCTTGTCCTGGGTTGAGTTTCGCATCCAGAGTATCTTAAAGTTCCCCCACCATTTCACCTGGCGTGAACAAGAGCATCATTTTACACCAGTGCTTGTAGAAGCGTAAGTCGCCTTTCTTTGGTAGTTTCACAAGGCAGGCGTTTCTCCTAATCATTCATATAATAAGTAATTACCGAAGTTGATATAAGAGTTTAGGTTATGGTAGTACTCGAAGCACTGACCTCCGACTTACTAGTCCGGTGACTTGTCAGTTGGGTGAATAGACCCAACTCCTAGCCAGGTCATCATTTAACCGCAATCATCATGACTAGTCCCCATAGAATTACTGTAGTTGATTTTGACTAGTCAATTTACTTACACCTTCACATACGTATTATGGGAAATAAAGACCCTCAACTTGCATTATTCAGGATTATACATGATTTCAAGTTCAGCTGAAAATGCTTCCTTCAATTCTTGCTATTCATGAATGGATCAAACTAATACTGTTTTACACAAGATAGTGTGTATCCTGTACTTTGTAGTCAACTGACATCGTTAAAGTATTTTAGAGCAAAGATAATAACAGTTAGTATCAAGTGGTTGATTCATGTGTGAATAGCTTTGGCCTCCTGTTTTCCGTGTGAAGTAGTGGCACAGCGGTAAGGACTACCGCTGACCATGCACATGGTCTGGGGTTCGATCCCCTACCGACGCACACCTGATATCAATCGGTCAGCCTGCAAAATCTGGGCTACCGATATCACATACTGAAAATCTTATACTTGTACCATAAAGACGGTGTGGAAATCAAGCTATTATATATATATATATATATATATATATATATATATATTATTGTTCCCTTGGGTTCCTAGTGTGGAATATAGGACTTCAACTGCACGTCTCCACTTGCCACTTCTGTCTTCCTTCTGCCGTGCTTTTCACCTGCATCCATGTCAGTCCATACTGTTTCAACTCGTCTTCACGCGATCTCCTCCATGTCACGCTTGCACTGACGTCCCACTTTCCGCGTGCTTCCCTTTCGGCCTGGTTCCACTCGAACAATGGCCTGACGTGCGGGCGATGTCACCCAGCGGCCTCCTCAGCCACTGTCCAATCCATTTCCACTCCATCTCCTGCATATTTGTTGGTTGGGCGATTGGTTCTTGTTTTGTTTGTTTGTTCCCATAGTTTCTTGTTGGTGATCCTTTCCGGCCCGGCCATCTGATTGATCTTCAGTATAGGTCCAGCGAAGACAGTTGTTGGTTGATAAATGTCTGCAACAGGTTGTTGAAAATATTCTTTGTGACCCGCTATAATAAAAAAATAGGGTGGGAAATATTGGGGTCAGGTGTCAAGTGCTAGGTAAGGAGGCGAAATCAATAGACGAGGCTTTGAAGGTACATCGATTGAGACGTTTAGGACATGTGTTACGCATTCCTGCTTAGTCATCACCTTCCTCGACCAACGGGCAATGTTAGATGACATAGGCTGGAATCATGTTGGAAAATAGCCAGTGGTGGTCAAACCAAAACATAGCTTCATCATTCAATTAAATCCAAAACAGTTAGTTTAAACCAGCCACGCGGGGAGGCGGGTGTAAACTACCTGACTGGTTGGAGTCCTCAGGATGGTAAAAACCCATGGTTGGAGGCAATGGCTGTAAATCGTTCTCAACTGCTGGCGCAGATGCATCCACTCCTTGTGATTTATAATATCCGATGAAAGTATATTGCTCTTCGATATTACTATTCATTTTGCCTCATATTTCTGTTTTGCATTTCTTTTTACTTTCTTATCTTGCCTTGTGTGTTAAGTAAAGTGTGGCAACTGGAACTGCTGCATATCTATGCGAAGTTGTTCTGTATTGACACCAGTCAGTCAGTCACTTGAATGGACTAGTAATTCTTCACTTCCAAATTGAACACTTCAAGTGAGGGATTGGTTTTCAGGATGAATTAACAATGTATACTAATAACTGCTATTAATATTCCTTCAGGCTCCTGATGGAACATAGATCTTCAGCAGCATATATACGTCTCATCCATGTCCCTTCATTTGTCTTTAGCTGACTCCACGAGTGTCTATATATTTCCATCTCCACCCCACGCATTCTCTTCTATATCACCCTCGGAAGGACATCCAACTCATCGTCTCCGATTGGTGTTCCAGTGGATGGTTATGCCTGTCACGTTCTTTTTAATGAGAGTCTGACCTGTCTGCATTTCTTTTTGTACATTTGTTGCGCAATAGCTTTTCAGTTCGTTCATTGACAGAGTTCCCCTTTTTGCTTATTATTTTCGGTTTAACCATTTCATCTTTATTATAGAGCGTCGGTGGCACAGTGGTTAGGACTCTCGCCGACCATGCACATGGTCCGGGGTTCGAGCCCTCACCGACGCACACCTGATATCTATGGTCGGCCTGCGAATTTTGGGCTACCGATATCCACGCTGAAAATTCCATACTTGTACCAAAAATACAGTATGGAATCAAGCTGTGATCAAAAATAAAAAAAACAAAAATAAAAAAAAATAAAATAAAGTCGGTTGTTGACAACAGTCTAAAGCCTGTTTGAAAAGCTTTACGTGAGACACATTGTCTCTGGACCATATAGGAGGGTTGACTAACTTGAGATAAGTATAGGGAAATCTGAATCTTGTTCCTTGTACTAATTGTGTCAAGTTTCCACACATTGAATTTATGTCTTGCTTTTCTGATCCCACCGTTTGAAATCCTTATCCGCGTCACCTGTAATTGAAACTTCGCTCCCTAGATAAGTGAAAGAAGTTAACTCCTTGAAATTTCTCCAGTCGATAGTAATTGATGCTTGGTTTTCTTTATCACCCTCCCCCATCTCCTCTGTGTTCAGTTAACGTCCTGTCACTACTGATTCTCCTATCAACTCGTTGATTTCCTCCTGTAGATCTTCGGTTTTTTGTCATATTAAACACAAAGCATTCTCGAGGTTCAAATCTTTCACAGTCTTCTTGTTGGCTCAGCGTATTTCAGTCTTCTCGCTCCCTCCCCCCAACCCGACAGTCTTCTGCATAAAACAGTCTACCCCACACTGAAGAAGGAAGATTACAAGCAGCCTTATCTTACTCCTGTCTTTACTTCAAAGGTCCCGATGACATTTCCAATCTGAATCTCTTGACATGTGGCATCTTCATTATATAGTTGTTAAATGAGATTAATGAATACTTGAGGTGCTCTACAGCATAGAAGCGGTTTCATGGTGAACACTGACGTAGGGCTTTTTCAAAGTTGATGAAGTTGGCGTTTGTAAACAATTAGTCATTGAGGTGAGGTTTCAGATATACTCTTAAAGTGGTTGAATTTAAACTCGTAGACAAGTTTAAAGGACAAACCATAAAGGGGTGTGTGTATATGATCCGATTGATGATGTTTATTTTATGTGAAGTTAATTACGAAAACCGTCTTTGATATGCCTGCCTATTGACGCAATTTACATTTTTTTAATTGTATTTCTTTCCATTAATTATTTAAGGTATGTACTGGCTATTCGATGTATTGCCTATCCATTGTTAACTGTGAATAATAGTGGACAGAATAGACGATATCTACGTGTAACTAAAGATTATTTGAATATATTAAAGGAAAGATTTCAGGTAGGTGAATTCAATTGAACTTCCTATACTAATCATGTGCACACATTTTAATTAATGATTTAATATAACTTCTCTAACTGTAGGGGGTACTGTTTGACGCGGGTTCGAATCTCACAAGGGACAAGAGTTCCTTCAAGGTTGCAGATACGCCTTGCTAACTGACTGACTTGTGATTGTCAATTTTCACGAAACTTAGGTCAAGCGGGGCTTCCTGTGACCGATTGCCTCCAACTACCATCTAATATCATCCAATCAATGTGCACCGTGATGGCGAGCGAACTAGAAGAGTGGCCACATTGCAAACTTGACGGACTGATAGAATTCAGTCTACACCAAAGAAAGGACTAGGCACGTTACACTAGTTACTAGTGTAAAATCAAAAAAAGTAGCTTTATTGTTCATTGTGTCAGATAGTTAGTTAGAAAGTCATCTTTCCTGAGGGATTCGGACCTGTGTCACCCAGTCCTGCAGTTTGAGACATTACCACTGAACTGTTGAACCTCACGAATGACCGCCAAGCGTCTAATCATTGGCTGTTGATGCAACGGATTCACCAATAGATTAGATCAAAACTGGGCATCTGGTTAATGGATATTTGACAACTTGAGGGGCGGGAAATTCAAGATAATCATGTTTTCACAAAAACTCATAAATGAAAACGGTTTGAAATGTCAGAAGACTTATAATTTATAATGGAACCGTATACTGACACTCATTTAAATAAGTTGAGGTTCTGTAAAGTAGAAAGGAGATGAAAAGAGTTATGAAGTGACTATATGTGTTTACGATGCATCGATCAAATCACCACACTATGGATCACCATTGAACAGAGCTTGGAATGGCAGTCGCCTCTCTATCTCAACTTTACTGACTTTGAAAAGGCCTTCGATAGCGCAGCGTCGATGGAGAGGTGATTTTGAAACTACTTCGCTAGTACGGGCTGTCGCTAGCAATTATATTCCTCATATAACAGTTGTACGACAATGCTGCCTGCCAAGCAATTTGCAACAGGAAACTCACAGAATCCTTCGAAACGAAGACAGGAGTAAGAGAGGCTGGTTGCCTTTTACTATCTCCAATGATTTTCCTGATCGCAGTAGATTGGATAGTGTGACAGACAGCGAGGAAACAGGCATAAAATGGACTCACACAAAAAACTTGGAGGATCTGGACTTCGCCGATGATATACATACATCTGATTTTCCACAGACTGGAAGATATGTAACTGATTAGCAACAAGTTCACAGAACGTCGGTGGCACAGTGGTTAGGACTCTCGCCGACCATGCACATGGTCCGAGGTTCGATCCCCTACCGACCCACACCTGATATCTACGATCGGCCTGCAAAATTTGGGCTATCGATATCCATGCTGAAAATTCCATATCTGTACCAAGAAAATACAGTGTAGAATCAAGCTGTAAACAGAAAAAGAAGCATTAAAGATAGGACATCCTTCAGGTGAACATAGAGAAGACAGAGATGAGGAAGATTCCTGGCCAACAGCAACAGCAACAACAACAATCAGCATAAATGGGAGTAATCTGAAAGAAGCAACCTCCCTCACCTACTAACCAAACTACATGGAAAGCATCGTTTCAACTACAGGCGAACGGAATTGATCAGGATATCAAAGTAGCGGGGATCGGGAAAGCAAGGTAAACTTTCATTTCTCTCAAGTCTGTGTGGAAGTCAACAGCACTCCTCAGCATGAAAATTGGGATCCGGATTTCCAACTCCAATGTGAAGTCAGTGCTACTTGCTATACGGATCAGAGACTTACCATGAGCGTCACGAAGGGCACTTCAGACAAACCACAGACTTTCATCAAGAGCTGTCCTCGCTCAGTACTACTCAAGATCAGATGGCCGGCCAGAAAAGCTCAGCAATAGTAAGGTATCTCTAGCAATGAACGAACCAACTCATTAGGAACCAATTGTACAAAAAATATGCAGGGATAAATGGAGGTAGGTGGATTGGCCATACTCTGAGAAAACAAACCACCATCAAGTGAGTGATATCACACGGTAGGTCATCGCTCGTGTGGAACCTGAATGGGAAGTGGCAAGTCAGTTGGTCTTCAGTGCGAGGGTTACATGGAGTAGAGGAGGTGAAAAGGAGATGAAAGCATGTGGGCAGACGTGGAGCCAGATGAAAAGGTTGTCAGAGAACCGAACGCAATGGATGTAGACGTGCGCGGCTGAAGCCCTATGTTCCTCTAAGAACTAAAGGAATTAATAACAATAATATGTGTGTATGTCGGCAAAGTGCTTCTTTGAGAATTATTGTTTACAAAATGTAACTTCAGGTGTTCAAAAACCTGACAGTCAGTTACACTAATTAGGAAATTATCATACTTCCAGACGTCAACGTCTCAAGATGATTATGAGAAAGTTTTCAGTATTGAGATACTGCGTTTAGTGTCCAAATAAAATATTTAATAATCTATAATGTCAATTTAAATCAGATGTCACATAACTTAAGAATAAGTTAGTTCATGTTAAATCTTGATTTAGGGTGTGAGGACAAATATTCACCAATGTCATCCATGGCTGGTGGTCATGTAATGCAGCACCAGTTAGTAGAAGTTAGAATTCATAGGCCTTTAGGTTCCGTCCTACTGGCTAGATTGCCAATTAGCTAACCTTGTAACCTGAAGGTGATGGATACAGTCCCTGTTATCTCGGTTCACGGGTACGTACTAATGAGGAGTCTCCAACTAGGACGAAACAGCCGTTCGCTATTCCTTGGTGGTTAAAGACTGTTCTGTGACTGAAGTCAGTTTGTGATCAATCTTGAATTCGATCAAATCCTTCTAAGCCAGTACTTAAAAGTAAACGTGTAACTATATGGAAAATAAGAAAGTGCACTCAGGAATCTGGAAACCATTCAAGATAAAGTGTTTATTCTCCTGATCAACATTCTGCTGAAATTTGCATTTCATGCCAACATTATGTTAGGCGGAGAAAAACAGGCTACTATCGGACTATTGTTAATGCATTGGACAGTGCCATTCACCATCATCATCCTTATATTCCTACTGCACAGTGCATATTAGATGTTCCACTCTGAGTTTCAACAAATACAATCACTGATGATGTCATCAGCTAGTAAGCTGAAATTAATAAATTGTATGTATATTTTGTGTGAATTATAAGTCAATTTTTAAGCATTGGTTTTGTTCGATTAGTTGGAGGATTCCATCATGAGCTGATATCAACTAGAGAACCATTGGAAAACCTGCCAGGGAGTACTGGACTGCTGTTTCGTCCTGGTTTGGGACTCTTCAATCGGAAACTTGTTCATCGAAGAAGAAGAAGAAGACGTTGCAAAGTGGTCGCACTATGTCGTCAATTGGCAGAAGTTAGAATTCATGGGCTGGCTGGCCATTGGATCGGGTCCCAGTGGATCAATGGTCTACGAACTCTCCAGACTTGTAAACAGAAGCTCCTGGATTCGAACCCTTGCGAAACAGCTGTCTGGCAGTACTCATAGATGGTTCTCTAGTAGTTCTCTAACTGATGTCAGCTCATTATGAGTCAACTGTCCAAAGGCAGAACGCCTGCCAACTACTCATGTCTTATGGGTTCAATTTTCAGCCGACCCACTCCTGAACAATGACTAGTTTATTACCCGGTAGAGAACTCAATAATCAAGGGTGGAGTTGGGTGTAAGGTTAGCAATCATACGCTGTAATAATCACCACCACTAGCACCACCAACGATGCAGCAGCTTCAAAGCTTGGAGTACCATGTTCCACTCGGAGCGGAAAAAAAATGATAAAAACAATTCCATGTGAAATGTGTATTCATGCACTTTTTTCTTTCCATATTTTCTAGTAAAATTCTTTTTTCATTTATTTTTGCTGGAATTTTTTGTTTTAAGTTAAGTTTTTTCTCCTTTTTTCTTCTTTCTGCATTCAATTTTTTAGTTGTATTTACGTGGTGAATTGCCTATTAGTAGTGATGAATCATTTCATGCTGCTGTTAATGAATTCACTGAAGCTGTTTTAAAAAGTGATCGCCTTTTAAGCATGGTCAAGTCTGGCAGCTGTTCCATGTATGATATTCGAGAGATATTTATTACACATATTGAAAAACAGGTAAAGAAAAAAAAAGTTTTATTCATTCTGTTTGGCCTTCTTCTTCTTCTTGTCTTCTACTTCCTGATGATGTCAACTCTTTTTAAATTACCCTCATTAGTGATATGTACTACTGATTAATTAAATGAGTAGTAGTGTACCACTCGCATTAACCAGTAGTGATGTTCACTAACCTGATCAAAGTGGTCTAAACGCCGAAAGGGGCTGTTTCACTTGTTTAGAGTTGATCAGGTTTGATCTGAATCGTTTCGACTCAATGAGGTGAGTGAAAACCAAGTTCAACGATGATGACTGCGGTTCCGAACGACTGAAACTGTCTGTTTTCGACATTGAACTTTGCACCGATGTGCACCGGTTTGAGTCGCCACACTCCATGGAGCACACAAAGCAAGAGAAGAAAGTAGAAGAAATGCATAATAGAGACAGTAAACAGGGATGTGAGACAAAGGAATAGTAGTAACGAAGAACAAAACAGTTTCATTGGAAATCATAAGCCACAAGGACTGGATGCATCTGCGCCCGCCGTTGAGAACGATTTTGGGCCATATCACCAATTGTCTTCAGCCGTAATTGTTTTTTACCATTCAAGGACCCCAACCAGAAAGTCTGCACTTTCCTACGTGGCTTAAAGTAACTGTTGTGGATTTCATTGACTGGTGACATGTTTCGGTTTGACCACCACTAACTCTTTTCCAACCTAACCCTTTGTCAGCTAACATTGCCCGTCAGTTGAGGAAGGCGATGGCTAGGGATGTATGCGTAACACATGTCCTAACCATCTTAGTCGATGTAGCTTCACAGCCTCGTTAATTGATTTCCCCCACTTACGTAGCACTGAAACGATGCCTTACCTCATTATTGCTCACCTTATTACACCGCTTCACATGGGAGATAGAGCGCAGGCACCTATGATCAAAAACAGCTAACCTTTTCATGTCTTCCACTCTCAATGGCCATTTCTGGCTCACAGCCCTTTGGTCGATACCCGGATATATATATCACGTCTACGCCAGATACGGCGTAAACTGGGATCTGCGAAACTCACCCTCTGTATCCGTGCCGATATTTCGTCAGAGATCAACCCGTTGGCACTGGGTGATGGTACTTTCCAAATAAGTGAAGCGGTCAACGTGCTCTACCACTTCACTCCCTATTTCTAAACTAGGAGTCAGTGTAGTCCAGTTCAGTCCTGTAACATCACCTTACATTTGGTGTGAGCGAATCGCATGCCAAACATTCGTAAAAACGACCAAAACGGTCATCCTGAGTTTAGATCACTTCCACACAGTTAGTAAGCAGTATTACTTGATGTGAATGATATCCAACTACTTATTTCAGTCGACCAGTAGTATATAGCATCATGAATTGTTCTTTCTTTTTTTTGATGACTGTTTATGCTATCAAGGAGATGACATATTGCTGTCTGAATAACTTTTACTTTCCAATCAGGGATGTGGTGAAATCTTATCTTATCTTGAGCTCTGGAATTCACAAATTGTGTGTAATTAATTAATTGCGAAAGCAGACGCTATTCATGTGCGTTCATCTTTAATGCATACGGTTATCAGTGATGTGAGAGAATGTTTCCTTTTGAATAAAAGGCAGGACTGTCTCATAGCGTATTGTGATACGTTGAATTATAGAGGATAAATTGAATGTTAATTCATCTCTATACATTATTTATTTCGTTATATATGTCCACACCAAGTTCACTTTTATCAGTTTGAAAAATATTTGAGCATTGGGTATATGATATTTTATTATAATAAAGGTTTTCTTGTATTTCCTAATGAATAAAAAACAAAACGATATTGTTGTCGTTTTTACTGACGTTTCGTTATTTAATGCTGCTGCTAATAGCTTTATCAAAGTAGTATTAAACCAGAATTTACAAAATCCACTCCGCTTATATACAATAATAACTTAATCATCGTTCCTCAGCATGCAGTAATTCTCTTCATGTTGTCAAGTTGGCCAATTGGTAAAGATAACAAAATCAGGTGTAGATTGTTGGATTTGATAAGTGTATAAAATTGTAAAAGCAGCATGTGTTTACATAATGAAAATGTTTATGACACATTCGTGTTGATTTTGTCATATCATAGAGAAAGGAGGTGTTGTAACTAGGTCAGATTCTGTTTTAGTCCATCATTCCTGTTAATCAGACAATGTGGATTCAACTTGATGATATGAAATGCTTCTGATGGATATTAGACGTTTTTTGTGATTTCTGAAATGCTTTCTCTGGATGATGATTTCAATATTGTCAAAATCAATTTTGTGGCCTGATTCTATGGCGTGTAGACAAGGTATGAACGATGATTTTTCAAGCTTTTCTAGTTCAACTGGATTTCTCGGTGGTCGGACAGAGGCGACTCTACGGTGTTCATTTCTTCTGATTTTGATTCCTCTCTGGCGATGTTTGTCTGATGTATATGGCATCATATTGCAAGCATTTTATTTCATAGACAAAATTACAGAATCTTTAGGGATTTTGTCTTTTATATATGATGTCGAGCTTATTGCGTACTTTTCTGATATTGTCTGACGTCTCCGCTCTATATGAAATGAAAACTGTTGAGGCGCATGTTTTCGGAATACGTTTTCGACCATACTTTTAATGTTAGTGTTAATTTTGTTGATGAAATTCTTTGGGCGGTTGTTTCGCTCTCAAGGGAATTTCAGTAATATTTGATATTTATACTTCTATTCTTTCTCATCCCTTATCAGAGAGTGTGCTTGTCTAAGAAGACTTGAAACAACTGATTTCTTTGCGCTGATGAAGTGTGATGATCCAAAGTTCGTTGGACTGGGGTTTCTTCCTGAACACGGGTATACTAAAATGTCCGTTTTCCTTTCTCTTAACTAGCCAGGCAATCTAGAAGTGATAGTTCACCGATGTCTGATTCTGACTGCTTCTGAAGTAAACTGGATTGTGGGAGATAGTTTGTTCTGTTTCTCCAAGAATGAGCTTTATTGATCTCGTTTCAGCACCATATTTTAGGCGTGAGTATGCTTGAAAAGATGTTATCTTCGAATTTATTCATGAAAAGTCCAACCACCATTGGGGAAACTAGTGAAGCCATAACAACACCAATTGTCTGTCTATATAAACTCCCTTTAAATGTAAAATAATTACTTTCTAGACAGAATTTTAAGCTCTTAATTATTTCACTGTTGTCCAGTGGACATCTTTGTGATAGGGTTGTATCTGATTCTGGTAGATTGGAAACGATATCAAGACTTTCGGTATTAGGAATGGATACTAGTATGTAATGAGTTAATGTCATAACTTACCATAATGTCTTCTTTATCAATTTCTCGGTGTTCTATTTGGGATTCGAAATCATATGAAGCTTTTACAATATTCTGAGTGTCCCTTTGCAGTGGTTGTACTATCGAAAATAATTCTGATTTAATAATACTTTGATAAAGCTATTAGCAGCAGCATTGCATAGCGAAACGTCAGTCAAAGCAGCAATACCGTTTTGTTTTTCATTCATTGGGAAATACAAATAACCTTTATTATTATAAGTACTTATTTTGGTTAATGTTGTTTTTCCCGTCGATTGATTGAACCGAAATATTCCGCCTCGGTTGACATATCGGCTCCTCGTATGGACGCTTCAGGGGTGTCTGGGGATTAACGTGATGCTATTTGGTGGATGGTGACTTGCAGTTGTATCCTAGCTTCGCATTTCATCCCATATGAAGCTCGTCAACTAGGTGTTGTCACTTGATTCAAACCCAGCACCTCTAGTCTTAAACGCCAAAGTGTCATTCAGTGGACTACTAGGGTCAGAAGAGCCACTTCTTGCGTAATAAATATCAGTGATTACTCCGCTTCTATATTTTCCAAATCACACCATCTCTGGAGTAGATGCGATACCCAAAGGATGGTTAAATATCTCTGCAGTTCTCTTTTTCTTTCTTTATGAGTGTGAGACATAAATTGATATAAGAATAAAACTTGTGCACTTCTGTAGAGTGCCAAAAACTTGGCACCAGTCAATGAAATCCACAACAGTTGGTCTAAGCCACATAGGAAGGTGTAGACTTCCAGGCTGGGGTCCTCGGGACGGTAAAAATCTATGGTTGGAAACAATTGGTGACATGGCTCAAAATCATTCTCAATGCATAGCGCAGATGTATCCACTCCTTGTGACTTATGATCTCCAATGAAACTGTTTTGTTCTTCGTTGTTACTCCTCCTTTGTCTCACACCTCTGCTCACTGTCTCTATTATGCATTTCTTGTACTTTCTTCTCTTGCTTTGTGTGCTACAAGGAGGGAATGAGGCGACTTGAACTTCCGCACATTTGTGCAAAGTTCTATGTCGAAAATAGACAGACAGTAGAGTATAATTCCATTATGGGTAAAATTTGTTTTGATAAATTTTCAGTGTTATACAGTGTAATGTTTACTGATGTCAGTACTGTTTAACACTATGAGACTTTATCAAAACAAATTTTACCCATAATGGATTGAGAGAGATAAACTTTGCAAGTCGATGAATCGAAGAGGCGAAGTGTATTTTTTTACTATAGATATCTGTGCCCTGTTTCTTGTGTTAAGTAGAATAAGATGGTAAGGGCAAAATATATTAACAAACAGAAGGTGTAACAATGAGATGGATCATCAACATTCTCTATCGTAGCAGACATATTTATGAACAGCTGGGAAAATATTGCTCTTAACACAACATTTAATCCTACTCCCGAAATATGGTGGAGATATGTGGATGACACCTCCACTCACAGTGTTAGAAACAGAACATATCTCTCTCTAGCTTCTACACACATACACACACACATAAACTCACAAGTAGAGGGAATAAAATTTATAATTGAGTCGGAAAATGAACAAGGAGAATTAGCTGTAATGTCGGATTGCAAAATAAAACGAATAGAAGAAGGTAAACTGCACACTAGCATATAACCAAAGGCAACGCATTGTGCTAATAGATATTTAGACTTCAATTCATCTCATCCCTTTGTTATCTGTGAAGGCAGGCTTAGTAGAGTGTCCGTCTAACAAACTAAGCAGTAGCACTAAGTAGCACAAAATAAGAGCTAGTTGGTGAAGTTGAAAGAGATACGAGAGGCGTTGGTGTTGAATAACTAACTATCTTATAAAATTCATAAGGAATATCTAAAAAGGTCAAAAGCAAAATAAAAAGGATAATGGTGAGACTAGTAATAATCACATAAATAAGAGAGAATATAAGTCATCTACAGTTATACCATATAATGAGGGGACATCTGAGACCTTCCCTACGTAGGATTCTTATTAAAGCAGTAATTAGGGTGGTGGCATTTAAACCTACAAACTCACTCAGGTGGGACAAGCTCTGTAGGTTAAAGGACCCTGTCGGTTGACCCAATTAGACAAAATAATATAATTTACAAAATACCCTGCAATGACTGTAAGTTAGGTCAACTACATAAATTTTTTTTTTTTTTTTGATTACAGCTTGATTCCACACCGTATTTTTGGTACAAGTGTGGAATTTTCAGCGTGGATATCGGTAGCCCAAAATTCGCAGGCCGACCATAGATATCAGGTGTGCGTCGGCGTGGGCTCGAACCCCGGACCATGTGCATGGTCGACGAGAGTCCTAACCACTGTGCCACCGACGCATACATACGTCGAACTAGTAGATCAGGAGTAATAAGACTATCAGAGCATAAGAATTTAGCTAAGGTAAGGATAGTTGATCCCAAGAAGATAAGTAATTTAGAAAAAAGCTCAGCACTGCATTACACTTCATGCATTAACACACAATTACACAACAGGGTGGATAGGAGAGGGTTAAAATTCTAAGAAGTAGTACAGCCAGATGGAAATAGAGAGAGGTTGATTACTGAATCCTTCCTTGTTCATCGAGTCTACACCCAACACACATACAACAGAAATGACTGATCACTCATACCGGAAATATTGTCTTATATAAATTTTCTCTCTATCTGTCTCTACAACTTCCCTTTGTCATTTTCAGGTATTCGTTTTGTAGGGATTTTGTTTGATTGGCTGGAGGATTTCCCCGTGAGCTGGCATCAGTTAAAGAACCATTAGAAAACTACCAGGCAGAAAGTACTAGACAGCTGTTTCGTCAGCCTAGTTTATGACTCTTGGGCGGTACGCATCCACCGGGCGCCGAACCCAGGACCTTTTGATTACAAGGCGAGCTAGCTCGTATACCATTTAGCCAATGGGATCCGATCCAATGGTCCTTGAATTGTAACTTCTACCAATTCACGACATAGCGAGTTACTTATTTATTTGCTTATAAAAATACTCGTCTTATACCTCATCTCAGTTATACTCTATCACCAAAGTGGCCAAGTTTTATATATATATATATATATATATAATGAACTGACACAAAAGACTTGGAGGATCTGGATTTCGCCGATGATATATGTCTGATTTCCCACAAACTGGAAGATATGCAAGTTAAAAGCAACAAGTTGGCAGAAGAAGCATCGAAGATGGGACTTCAAGTGAACATAGATAAAACAGAGGTGATGAAGATTCCTAGCCAACATCAACAACAAAAACAACAACAGACAACAATCAGCCAGAAAAATGGGAGGAACCTGAAAGAAACAGCCTCCTTCACCTACCTGGGAAGCATCGTCTCAACTACAGGCGGAACTGACGAGGATATCAAAGCCAGAATCGGAAAAGCAAGACAAGCTTTCATTACTCTCAAGTTCATGTGGAAGTCAACAGCACTCAGAATCAAAAATAAGATCCGGATTTTCAACTCCAATGTGAAGTCAGTGCTACCATACGGATCAGAGACTTGACGAGTCATAAAGAGCATCTCAAACAAATTTCCGACCTTCGTAAATAGTTAGCTGTCTTCGCTCAATACTCAAGATGAAATGGTTGGCCGGAAAAGATGAGCAACAAAGATCTCTGGGAGCGAACCAATCAGGAGCCAATTGTGAAACAAATAGGCAGGAAGAAATGGAGATGGATTGGCCATACGCTGAGGAAACCATCAAGTGACATCACTAGACAAGCCATTGCTCGAGTGGAACCCGGTCGGGAGGCGGCGAGTTGGTCGTCAGTGCAAGGGTGACTTGGACGAGGTCATGCGAGGAGGAGATGAAAGCATGTGGACAGACCTGGAGCGGGGTGAAAAAGTTGTCAGAAAACAGAAGGCAATGGAGGTGCGCAGCTGAAGCCCTATGTTCCTCTAGGAACTAAAGGATACAACAATATATATATATTCCATCGTCAATCTAAAATGAATGTTTTCATGTAAAAACATGTTTTATATTATGATATGAGAAAGGTGAGAAGTAATTAGCTTAGGCATTGGGTTTTAGGTAAGGAGAACAATTCAATGGATGAAGCTATGAACCTGAATCGTTAAACATGCCAAACTATTGTTTTCCATGGTGAACAATGTTAGCTTACATAGAATTAAGTGGAAATAGAATCAAGGGTGTCCACGTGAAAACTTGACACAAAGTGATACAGCCTGTGACCGTTGGTTTGAGCCACACAGGGATATTCGACACGCTAAAAACCAATGGACAGAGACCAGTGGTGGTGGTGGTGGATATTATGGCTCAAAATTACTCTCAATGGCTCAATGGCGTTCACTTCTTATAAGCCTCCAGATTCATTAAATTCTTAATATTCTCCACCTGTATCATCTTTCTGTTGTACTTTTTCTTCTACATTGAAGACTCAGTTAGTCAGTTAGACTAGGGAAATAACTAATTTATGGAAAGTCAAAACAAGTGGGCTACCGATATCCACGCTGAAAATTCCACACTTGTACCACAAATACGGTGTGGAATCAAGCTGTAACCAAAAAATAAAACAAAAATAAAAATAAAATAAAAAATAAATAAAACAGTCAGCCCCATGCCCAACCCTCCCTCTTTACCAGTCTTGCTATTGGCTTAGAGAAGTAAAGGAGTGCGACGGCGGCCGAGGATCGAACCCCGGACCACGTCAGGTGTGGTTGGCGAACATTCTACCGCTGTGCTACCGACAGGCAAAGACACCAAGATACTCGTTAGAAATCCCTTAAAATTGTATCCAGTAAACGAACAAGCCTCTTTATTAACAAACTGAGATCAAGACACTTACGAAATAGCTTAAACATTAGCTATTCAGAAATTCAAACCAACACTAATTATGTGAAAGAGATACATTCAACCTTTATCTTTGCGACGGACAACATAATGAATGAATGCATGCATGAACTTGAGTGAAGCGAGAACAGTTAACTGAGCAGAATAATATGGTATTACATTCGTGATTCACAAATTTGTCTTTGTGATACCATGAATAGTAATCAAAAAAGCCACATTCTACTGATAGAATAAAATGTTTATGGAAAATTCCCATTGTAACATGTAGAAAATCAAAACAAGTGGTGATTCAGTAAAGAGATTCTCTCCAACATCAAATTTATCATCAAGCTGTACAATATGGTTTTTAAGAAGTTATATCGGGTGAGGGAATTCAATCGTAGATGTGAATACATAAAATAATAATAATAACAATAGTAGTATGAAATGTAATTAAAAACTAAAATGTTTGTGATTATAATCATAATTAAATATCATATATAGAATAATTCATAGGATGGATAGAACTTGGAAAGCGTGTGCAATTATAGGATTAGTAGGTAGAACCGTTACGTAATATTGCGTGAAATTCGACAACATAGAATTTAACGTTGCAAAACAAAATTGATATAGAATGACAAGTGGAACAAGTGAAATAATACCGGGGACAGTTCAAAGTGGGAATAGTAATAGTAACAACTGACGTAATAGAGGGACTTGGCGCAGGGACCAGGGTGATCAAGAATGCCCTGGCCCCAGGTGGAGGCTCGCCTTTGCACTTCGGCGTGTTGAAGCCTGAGACGATCCCTAATTGGGCTCGCTCGGACGCGTGGCTTTTGCTAGTGGGGAGGTCTTCGGATCATCCCTTTTAAAAAGTGTGCGTCGGTGGCACAGTGGTTAGGACTCTCGCCGACCATGCACATGGTCCGGGGTTCGAGCCCACGCCGACACACACCTGTTATCTATGGTCGGCCTGCAAAATTTGGGCTACCGATATCCATGCTGAAAATTCCATACTTGTACCAAAAATACAGTGTGGAATCAAGCTGTAAATCAAAAATAAAAATAAATAAATAAATACAAATTGAATAGACAAAAAAATGGTAGAGCCGAAATATGATTAGGGATTACCATACTTTTTAGCATAGAGGGATGAAGACCATGAGAGTTGGAGGGGTTGAACGAACTTTTTCTGTACACAGAGATCTCGGGATTTGGGTAAATTACTCTTTGCCTTGTAGATGACTTTAAAGGCGAAGGTTATAGAGATACAGTGATCATTATCGACGAGATGTTGAATGATCGCACTTCTCATTGCTCCACTTCCACCTTTTCGTAACAATCATGCAGGATAGTGTTGTTGCACCCTCTTGGACAAAACTCGAGTCGAACGACCTATGTAGCTAGCTCCACACGAGCAGGTGAATTAATAAACGCACACATAGAGTTGGTCAACTGTGGGATCTTGTCCTTCAGGTTTTTGAACAGTAATGGTCGACTAGTAAAGGCTATTCTCAATAACATCAATATACGAAATATCTAAGGTAAAATTAATCAAATACCTAAAAATGATTGTTACTCAAATCTTAAAATTTTCTTTTTGTTTTTGTTTTTTTAGTTTCAAGGTGTTCAACCAATTGAAGGTTTATCCAAAGAAAGTGTATTAAGTTCATGGAAAATAAAATTTGATCAAATATGTCGTGGTGGTGAAGGACCATGTCCTGAAGCAATGAAATTAGCTGTACCTCAACCAGAACCTGTAGCTTTATCTAATGAACAGTTATACGAATTATTAATGCGTACACTATCAGTTGAAAAATATGAACATCAAGTGTTATATAATGCATGTCAAGTAAGCTAGTTTTATTAGTTGTACTTATTTTTGGTTTTCTAATCTCTTTATGACTACTTCAAAAGGAAGTAATCTTGTTCTATAAATTGGATAAGTTGATTTGAAATATCACACAATGATATCTTTGTCTATCAAGTGTCAAAGTGACTGCTCCAAACTAAATGGCTTCTTATCACAAAAATCAGTCAGTGGTTCAAGGAAAATGGTCTTACCTTAAATCCCTCTAAATGCCAAACAGTCAATTTCACCTTTAGACATAAATATGATCTAAACAAACTGGTTAGCACTCACAAGGTGTACAACATAGATAGATGGCACTGAAATAGAAACCAAGTTAGAAATTAAATATCTTGACGTCATTCTATCTGCTGATCTTTCCTGATCGTTTCATATCTTGATGATTTCTAAGAAAATATTCCGTCTTACCTTCTACATCAAGAAATTAAGACATTCTGGAATGACGCAACCCAACCCTTACTCTTACGATTCGTTAACTCTTGCATCCTGCCTATTATTCTTTATTGTTCCCTGTTAGTTTTTCCGGGGCTACTGAAGAAGGACTACATCTTATTACGTAGGATGTTAAAGGTTGTCAGCAGGGTAAGCCACAGGGTGCCACTTAACCAGCTTGTTAATATTCTGGTCGACAGGTACTTGGACTCATGGGAAAAATGGGCTAAATCCATTCCATCTATCTAACTCACACCACCACCCTCTTCATTCACAACTCTCTCCTTGTATCTCATCAGGCAGACAGACCAGAAGCCTATATAGAAAACTATGTTCTCGCACCAGCAAGTACAAAAACTCAACCATACCCTACCTACTTGGCTCGTGTTCTGTGCGATAAAGAAAACATTAGTCGTGAAACTTGTAACTTATTAAATAGTCAGTAGAACAACTGGATCTCGTCTTTCCAACTCATATCATTTATAGGTACAATGTTTTCTTTCTTTCTTTTCTCTTTTTTTGTCATGTGCTGTTTTGTTTTTATCTTCCTTAAAAACTCTACTTAAAACATTCGTCTTCGTCCTTTCACACTCTGTGGATCTCGATAGTTTTGTTACCGCTTACGCCAGTAAATTTGCTAGCACCTACTTTTCTAGCACTTTCAAACATTCTGTTCAATTTTTGACTTTGCTACCAATATGCTAATATGTTGTTGAATTTTATTTATTGAATAATGTACTAACTGGTTGGAATACTGTGTGTAGTGAAATGCTGAGAATTCCATTCTGTATCACAAGTACTGTTTTGGAATAAAGCAAATTAATATTATTTTTATCATATCACACAGTATTAATTACTGTGAATGATGTTATAAGAACAAATTACTGCTTATGATCCTATTTGATCCCTCGAGTTCCAAGTGGACTGCATAGGACTGCAACAGCACGTCTCCACTTTGTTCTGCTTTTTTCTGATGTCCTCTTTAGTTGGGCTAACGATTACCCGTCGTCTCTCATCTCCTTGTCGCTACACGATTTCCCCCCATTTCACTCTCGGGATCGGGAACCTAACTAGTAAGCCAGGAGAGTTAAATAATACAATCAAACAAATAAAGGAAATATTATGATAGAGAAGATTTGTAGGTCAGGTAGATGATCTTGATGTGGTTGTGTTCTCTGAGGTAGCTGGATAGTTTATTTGCGAAGCTTTCATCGCGACATTTTCAACGCATACTTCAATCTGAAGGAAGTGAGCTTTTAGATTTCTTCACGAGTTCACCATTAGTCATCTCACCTGGTGACCTTTGATGTGATTGGTTATTTTTGTGTGTTTTCACACCTTCTGGTTTACATAAGCTAGCTGTCAAAAGACATGACATCTACTCCTTCATATCACGCGCTACATACAGACAACCACGGACATCAATTCGAACGGGGACAACCATTATTCAAATATAAGACAGAGGAAACACCCAGAAGGCTAGAGAATTTTTAGAAGTTTGGCATTCCAGGGAATCGTCAATCAATAGACACATTGAGATAGAGAAAATTTATCAACCGATAAGAAAGAAACCTCACACACACAAAGGGTTAAATTTCAAGTTAAAAGAAACAGTCACTTCCAATGCAAGTAATCTAGAAGGTGTGAAAACACACAAAAACCACCAATCACGTCCAGGGTCACCAACCAGGAGAGATGACTAATAAACTCGTGGAGAAGTCTAAAAGCTCACTTCCTTCAAATTGAAGTATGCGCTGAAGATGTCGCCTTGTAGGACGATGAAAGCTTCGGAAATTAACTATCCAGCTAGCTCAGAGAACACAATCACATCAAAGGCAATATTATAGTGGACAACTAACTACTCACCAGAAATTATTCAGAAATATTAACAGAACCATAGGAAAAAAAATAAGATTAGTAATAAAAAGGACTAAAATAACGAAAGTAATATAGAATCTAAAGCCTCTGTAGTATTACCGTACAAACAAGGAAAATCACCGGCTGAAATCAGGGTGCCATCTAAACTAATAAACTATCTCATTCAAAAATAAACTTTGTTGGCTTAAGGAACTGATAGATCCAATTAAAAAGAATGTTATAATTTATCATATACTATGTAATGTCTTTGAGGTCATTTACGCATATGTCAAATCAGTGGATCGGTAGGCAGTTTGATTATTGGAACATAAACACTTAGATAGACTTAGAATCACTGATCCTGTTAATTGATTGGAAGATTTCATCAGGAGCTGGCATCAGTTAGAGAAGCATAGGCAAACCACTAGACAGGTAGTACTGCAAGACAGCCTAGTTTGGGACTCTTCAGCTATACGCATCCAGCGGGGTTAGAAGCCAGGACCTTCTGGTCACAAGTCTAGCGAGTTCGTTGACCATTAGGCCACCGGGAACCGTCTCTTCAATGACCAGCTCATGAATTCTGAATTCTGACAATACATGACATAGCGCGATCACTTCACAATGTCTTCTTCGATGGGATCTGGTTCTAATGGCTAAATGGTATGCGAGCTACCTCGCCTTGTAATCAGAAGGTCCTGGGTTCGGCGCCCGGTGGGTGCGTATTGCCGAAGAGTCATAAACTAGGCTGACGAAACAGCTGTCTAGTACTTTCTGCCTGGTGATTTTCTAATGGTTCTCTAACTGATTCCAGCTCATGGTGAAATCCTCCAGCCAATCAAACAAAACCTCTACAAAATGAATACCTGAAAACGACAAAGGGAAGTTGTAGAGACAGATAGAGAGAAAATTTATATAAGACAATATTTCCGGTATGAGTGATCAGTCATTTCTGTTGTATGTGTGTTGGGTGTAGACTCGATGAACAAGGAAGGATTCAGTAATCAACCTCTCTCTATTTCCATCTGGCTGTACTACATCTTAGAATTTTAACCCTCTCCTATCCACCCTGTTGTGTAATTGTGTGTTAATGCATGAAGTGTAATGCAGTGCTGAGCTTTTTTCTAAATTACTTATCTTCTCGGGGTCAACCATTCTTACTTTAGCTAAATTCGTATGTTCTGGTAGTCTTATTACTCCTGACCTACTAGTTTGACCTATGCAGTTGACTTAACTCACAGTCATTTCAGGGTATTTTGTAAATTATATTATTTTATCTAATTGGGTCAACCGACAGGGTCCTTTAACCTACACAGCTTGTCCTGTCTGAGTGAGTTTATAGGTTTAAATGTCACCCTAATTACTGCTTTAATAAGAATCCAACGTAGGGAAGGTCTCAGATGTCCCCTCATTATATGGTATAACTGTAGATGACTTATATTCTCTCTTATTTATGTGATTATTACTAGTCTCACCATTATCCTTTTTATTTTGCTTTTGACCTTTTTTGATATTCCTTATGAATTTTATAAGATAGTTAGTTATTCAACACCAACGCCTCTCCTATCTCTTTCACTTCACCAACTAGCTCTTATTTTGTGCTACTTAGTGCTACTGCTTAGTTTGTTAGACGGACACTTTACTAAGCCTGCCTTCACAGATAACAAAGGGATGAGATGAATTGAAGTCTAAATATCTATTAGCACAATGCGTTGCCTTTAGTTATATGCTAGTGTGCAGTTTACCTTCTTCTTCTATTCGTTTTATTTTACAATCCGACATCACAGTTAATTCTTCTTCTTGTTCATTTTCCTATTCAAATGTGAATTTTATTCCCGCTACTTGTGAGTTTATGTGTGTGTGTGTATGTGTGTAGAAGCTAGAGAGAGAGAGATATTTTCTGTTTCTAACACTGTGAGTGGAAGTGTCATCCACATATTGTCAACCGTATTATCTTTGGAGTAGGATTAAATGTCGTGTTAAGAGCAATATTTTCCCAGCTGTTCATAAATATTTCTGCTACGATAGAGAATATTGATGATCCATCTCATTGTTAAACCTTCTGTTTGGCTACATATTTCACCTTCTAATTTAAAGATAGTCGACATGAGGCATAACTGAACTCGTAAAATAATTTTCTCAAGGAGTTCGAGCCTCAGTGCGAACATCATCACCCATTGCGGAATGCAGGTACATTAATTGGCTGATGAGTCCGAAGAAGAAGAAGATGAAATGCGCATCTTGGATTCCACTGCTAGTCATTGTTTACCAATTAACAAGTTATAATAGTCACGAACATAAACTGGCACTGGGGAGTGGGAGAGCACAGCTATTTTTGCATCTGCAATTTAAGGGAAATACTTCTGCAGAGCTTATATCCCAAGGTCTAATCAATGCGATAAAGAAGACTTTCTACACTGCACATCTGTTCCTGTCCTTCAGTAGCCGTTCAATGTCCATCCAGAAAGTGAAAAAATGTTTTACCCAACCGTAGCTCTCCTTCATCCACATAGCATCTCAACTACCCTTATAGTTCAAGTTATACAGGGCGCACGATTAGACATTTTCATTTACAGATCCAAGATCACTTTACCAGATTGGTTTAGTAAGGGGGAAATTAAATGCATAAAACGTTCGATTCTTTGATAATTGGTCCGGACAGGACATTGTGTAACAACAGAAGACAAGGGCCAGGC